TCGGATACCCAATCCACGCTATCGGAACCGCGGCCCTGCGCCGAAATTTCGTTGACCGGGCGTAGAGGATGCCGGTACAGAGCGAGCGACACCGAATTCTCGGGATCATCTCGAAGATGGCGCGCCAGGTGCCTCTGGCCCGATCGTGGCAGGGCGTCACCCCGACTCACCCCTTGGCCGGGGTGATCCTCGCAGGACCACCGCCCAATTTCTCGGTTCCCTCGTGCCGGTCGGCGTCGGATGAGAAAATTTCTCCGTGCGAACGAGGGAACCTTGACTCCCGAGAATTCCAACGACACGTTTTGAGGGCTCCAGAAGAACCAGACCACCTCTTTATCCTCCGCGCATCTCTTCCCGCAGCCAAACGCATACCAACGCGGGCCTCGCCTCCTCTGTCTTTATCCGTCTGGGCCGCGGCCGTCCGTGCCACGGTCGCAATTTACACCCCGTGGTGCTCAAAGAAGACAGGTACACCGGGGACACCTATCTCTGCGCGAGGACACACAAGCACGCGAACGCTCGCGATCGGCTCGCCGACGTCGCCCGTCCGGTTCGTCTTCGCGATCGTTCGTTTAATTGGACCGGTCATGTTGACGAAACTCTTTGTCCGGTCCACCGCTTACGTAATTGTGGGATCGGCGCGGATCGGTGACCGTACATCACCGCGATCCCCCGGTTTATTGGATCCTGGGCCACGGATCAACGTTAAGATAGCATCTGATAGGGGGCGTAGGTGGGTCCAGCTTTCCTAATCGGTGATACCGTACGTCTAAGCTGCCAGTCGTAAAGATGAGGCATTAGGTGCACGAAAAGAATGGGAACAATATTGTATCGTAGGAAAGAACATTGCTCGCGACATTGTTAATTAACCGGTTAGCTGTTTTTTTTTTAGAGTAATTCATTTGGAAATGGCTATGTTTTGTGTCGCAAGGAGTATACTTGTCAAAAATAGCTAACTGGTTAGGTTAAATAGATATATTAACGCTTTGCAATCGAATGGCGAGTCTCGGGCGCCACTAAAAATTGTTACACTATTTTTTAAAATAATTGTAACAGTATCAGATTCATTTTTTAACAGTTTTTTAAGTATAAATGAATCTGATGCTGTTACAATTATTTTAAAAAATAGTATAACAATTTTTAGTGGCGCCCGAGAATCGCCATTCGATTGCAAAGGGTTAATTGCAATTATTATATTTGCCAGACACGATTCCGTATGCACGAATCGCAACGAATCGTATAAAACGGAAATACCCTCGATCGAGAAACATGTTTCGGATTTCGAATTAAAATAGCTTCGATGGCAAAGGGTTAATGTTAGGAATAAAATTAAAAATAAAACAGTCATTTTGTTACAGATTAATTTTATATTGTAATAGTCACGGATACACATTTCAAAGAGATTGCAACAACTAATTGGTTAATTAGCTGGGCGTTTCACTCGGTTATGTACCTTGCGGAGGAAGGATATTTGCAATGCTAATAGAAGTACAAACTGATCATGCATCCGACCAAGGCGTTGGTTCACCAGCCAGGTTGTACCGGGTACTCGAATAAATCCTTTGAACTACTTATAATGGATCGAAATGGATCCAAGGATCCAATGGATCCTTCGTCCACCTCCAAAAGAATCTTCTAGCATTCCTCTAATAAAATTGAACTCCGCGATCTTGATCCCATTCGTTAAGGTTATATTATACGCTGAAATATCAGTGCTTTTTAAGAACTTTCCCCTGAACAGCTGTGAGTTAATGTAAAAGCTGTAACTTTCTCGAAACTTTATGTAAAAAAGAAACAAAAAATGCTCAGTCCGTAAACCAGATCCCAACCCCAAATTGTCTTGCTAATTACAGCCAAAAAAAAGGACGAATCCGACCGCGATATTCGAGACGTTAGAGAGCGTACAGCGACTTTCTTTCTCGTTTCGCGGGATAATAAAGGGGTTCGTGTCCCGTCACAACATCGTACACACTTCTCAGCCGCTTATCTTGCCGGTGCGAGCGGATCGGTCTGGCCGTAGATGAAACCTGCTCGCATCCCCCGCGTCTAAAAAAAAAAAGAAAAAAAACGGGTACAACGGTTCGTTGTTGTTTCGGTCGTTTTCTATATCGTTCCATCTATCGAGCCGGGTCCCGGGGCCCGGCAACAAAGGCGGGAGAGGCATTTCTTCGTCTTTTGTGCGCTCGAGTCACTCTGCCATGTTTGGGGATCGTCCGATGAACGGGCGGTGTCTCAGAGAGGATCGAATCGGTCCCGGAGCGTGCCCTTTCTCTCTGGAGTACACAGCCAGGGGTGGGACATTCATCTCCATAGATTAGCTCGCCTAGGCAGTGCATAACGTCGGCGTGCCGACGCGCAGCCCATTTCGAGATACCTGGCCACGCCTGGCATCGGTCCCCCCTTCGGTTTCCTTCCCCAATTTATCCGGCATTCGTTCGGGACAAGGAATTATAGGATCTCGAGGTGATCGTTCCTAATTGTCACGGTAAATCATCCGATCGAATCTACCCGTGCCGCCGTATCCTGTTTCTTCCCCGGGACACGAAATTATCTCTTAATTTATCACCCGGGAGAAAGTTCAATCGATTGGAAGGTGTCCGGCGATGGTTTATGGGCCAGGGAGAAGTAAAATTTCGGTGCACGCGAGAGTGATAGCATCTGCGAGTATGCATATAGGTCGAGTGCAAGCTGCTGCGTTCACTTATTTACGTGCATTGCGATCGCCAAAGTTGAGAGAGCCCGGTTTCATTTCGAAGACGTTAGCGCGAGACTTTTCTGAACGGTACAGAGGGTCGAACCCGACGAGCGAGGTGTCGGTGGATTAACCCTCGCACGACCCTCATTTCTCCAACTTATTCTCCCCCCCTGCTGTCAGGCAGAGATCAATTAAAAGACCGAAGTAACGCTGGATAAATTTCGAGCAAGATTATTTGGAATCGTTCGTAAAACATTAATGCGAGACACTGTGTTGAGTCGGAATTAGTGGTGAACTCGGTAAATCGATACGAAAGTCATCCGAGGGTTAATTACCCCATTGTGTACACGTTTACGGGAGCCCATAAATCACCGTATGAATTTTATTTCTGTTCCAGGTGGAGAGAGAAGCGTCCGAGGTGAGTACGTGACCACGATCCTAACGGAGAGTCGGCTATATACATGTATATATATATGTATCCTCGATTTAATTACCTGCACTTGCCGGGGCGCAGACGTATAAATCAGGAAATTAATCAGGCCGAGTCCTCGATTTCCGGTCGTTAAAGGCGCTCGTTGAAATTCGCGGGACGGACAAGCCTAACTTCGACCCGTCGTTTACCCTGGCCGTTAGAACTGGCCACGTTACATCCGATCCCCCAAGCTGTAACCGTGAAGTCACATACCAGTTCCACCAGTTTCGTGACCAATTCCAACAAAAAAAAAACAACAAAAAAACACATTTGAAAACTCAAACCATTGTGCCGGGATTGGAAGTTGGGCATTGTCCATTGTTTGCTGTTCTTTATGTTTGGAAATTGTAATTTCGACGGTGCCTGTGCTGTCAAATTGTATCAGTGGCGGGTCAGTGACTCTATCAATCGAAAACAAGTTCCTCTGGTCAGCCATCTCCTCGACTCCGCACAGTGCACGGTTGGATAGAAAGCTGATAATCAATTTAGGAGACGGAGGGGTAGTAAAACCAGCATAGCGGATCATGCTGGCTAAATTGCAGTTATCATTTCAGCTACCGAAAGCCTATCGGTAGCGTTCATGCTACCGAACGTGCCAAAGAGTGCCAAGCACCGACACAAATGTTTCTACGAAGACATCAACTGGCAATTTCTATCAACGATAGATACATCGGTCTTGATACAGCATCCAGACCGATCGGACCGAGTAAATACTCTGTCAATATCGCAGGAAGCACCGAACAGTTCCAAGTCCGACACAGATGCTTCCATCGAGCCTTTGAACAGCGTTTTCTATCGGTAATCACAATCTCGATAAACATCCAGACTGATCAAACCGAGCATTCTATCCGTCTATTGGCTAAAAACGGCTCGGAACGTTGCGAAATCGTGAATCGAGGAATCAAAGGCAAGCTAGATATGGACACCCGTGACAGACCTATCATGGAAATGCTGGAGATAGTTCGATCTTAAAGATCCAAAGAGTGACTGGAGGCAGATAAAGCGTTAAGGGTGGTGGGAACCACTTGGAAATCAGCTAGCCGGACAGGAGATAGTTGAGAGCGGGCTGTGCATCGCGCGTAATCCCGCTGGCGAGACTTTTTCCCGCCCCTGCATATTTCCACCCTCGTGCTCGAGCATAGGATGCACCATGCCCCCCCTCGGCCTCGGCGTGGATCCCCGGCTGATCCGTCCCCTTCCCCTGAGCCCGGTGTACCCGCTCGCTTCTTGCCCCATCGCGCGGTGCCACCACTCTGAGAACGCAGGAATGCCGGCGCTATCCGAACCGGGACCGGGTTCAGTGGTATCCAAGAGTCGAGCAGACGACGCTCCTTCGAAACGCTCGCGATTTTCCCGCGAACGAGCAACCACCCAGGCGTCATCGGAGACGAGCCCTTTTCGGTGGTCGCGTCTCGCGTCTACGGAGAAAGGGTTGGCGAGCGTCCTCCGGATCGGGATCGACCGGAAGCGAGTGGGGATAGGTCACGGGGGGCGGCGGTGGTTCCCTGGTTAATTGATTCGATCGGCGGGTCCGAGCCGGTCCCGTGGAACGGTGGCAAGAGGAGAGGCCGGTTTCGGGCGAGGATGCAGTTCTCGAGGGGAACGGGATCGAAGGGCGGAGTTAGATAAAAGAAGCGTTCGGCGCGGAACAAAAGCGTCGAGACAATAAAAGGAGAGGAGATAAGAGAGGAAAACGTAGACGGGTCCGGGGAGGGAGAGAAGCGGAGGGGGCAACGAGGAGAGAACTCGCGAGAGAAACGGAGCGCGCGCGAGGACGAGGTAGAAAGAGAGAGAGAAAGAGCGAGAGGGGGAGGGAGGGAGAGAGAGAGAGAGGGAGGACGAGAGAGAGGACGCGGCAAAAATTTCGTGGCGAAGCTGACTGGATAGAGGTGAGACCGGAGGCCGTCGCGTCGGGCGGGCGCAATCCCGTCGAGCGGGTAAATCGGAAGTTACGGTGCGATTAGAAAGATCGATACGAAATTGCGAACTGGGGAAATTGCGGGCGGCGCGTTTACGAGCTGGCCGAGGGTGGTCGAGAGAGAGAGAGAGAGAGAGAGAGAGAGAGAGAGAGAGAGAGAGAGAGAGACAAAGGAGGAGATCGCAGAACGGTCGAAGGGAAAAAAAGCGGGCGGAACGCGTGCGATGCGTCGTGGAAAAACCGGCGGCGAAGCGGACCCGAGGAAGACCTAGAGGGCCCGCGACGTTCAGGCAGAAGAGAGCGGAAAACTGTAGACACGCACGGTGACGAAGGGAACGGAGACGAGCGCGGAGAGGTATCGTGGTGCGAGAGGCTCGAAGTCTCGAAGGCTCGAAGGCTGAAGAGAGCAGTGTGTGCAGGGAATAAGGCAACGTGGCGAGCAGGACTGCACCGGGCAAGAGAGAACGCGGAGAGTGGATCCGATCGGAGCAGAAGCGAAGAGAGCAACGCGCGTGGTACCGACGGAGAACGCGCGAGAACGGGGGAGAGAGAGAGAGAGAGAGAGAGTGAGGCGCCTGCCAGAGAGGAACGGAGAGAAACGGAGAGAAGAGAGAGCGAGAGGCAGAGTCGGTCTCGGTTGTGGGGACAGAAACGGAGGAAGAGCGAGAGAAAGAGACGGGGAGAGAGACAGAGAGCCATTCATCTTGGCGCGCCTAGGCGGCGCGCGATTGGTCCGACCGGGATAAGGGAGCGACGGGATTGGTCGGCTCTGTTTACCAGCTGGTACCCCGGCGCGGTCGAGGATCGTGGAAGGAGAGGGGGGAACAGAACGGAGAGACAAGCGGCGCCATTATTGTAAGGGGTTACATTTAGCTGGCCGTGGGTTGTAGTACGCGGCGTTCGGGATAGGGGGCTATAGTACCTTCATGCATGGCCCATAAAGGATTCGTCGACTATCCGAGAAGTACGCAAGAAACGGCTTCTAACACCTGACAGGGGCCACGCTCTTCTCTTCTCTTCTCTCTCCGCGTGCCGTCGCGTCGCCTCGCCTCGACTTGCCTCGACTCGTCGTGTCGCAGCCCAATTTTCCGACGCTGGGACTGGGACCGCTGCGGCCGCAGATCAGCTGGGTGGGCCCCAAGACGCACCGAACCGCCGCACCAAATACCCGCTGCTTTATCACCTTTCCCGTGGCCCGGCGCGTCCAAGGAGCATCGTAATTACCATAAAGGAATCGTAACCGACCTCGGAGAACAGGACCATCGGTTGGACCATCCGTTGGCCCGTAGGACCTTGGACCGTCCGCGACCATCGGGGACCAAGGATGATCGGAGCCCAGCGCCGATAGAAACATACCCCGCGACCGTTGGTCCATCAACGGAGGAGGAAGAAGAAGAAGAAGAAGAAACAGAAGAAGGAGATCCGTTTCGCCGGTGTGCCGTCGCGAGTTCGCCGTGGACCCGCGCGACCACGCTCGTGCCAGCTATCGGTTCCCTGTGATAATGTGTACAAGTTGCGTAAGTGGCAATCAAAGTGGGGGTTGAAGCTAAATGACACAGAAGGGACAGTCGAGAGTCAGCTGGAGATCGGAGCGCAACAGCAGCGACGAGTGAGCGACGGCCGACGTTAGGGAGCCAGGCCGACGGGTTCGTGTGCGCGCGGGATAATAAGTAGGAATAGGTAGAGATCGTCGTCGGGCAGGTGTAACGATCGGGGAAAAAATAGGCCGGGGACGGTTGGCCGAGGAGAGTTAGTGACAGTGGAAGAGATGAGGCAGCAGCCGGCAGGCTCGCCAGCGGCGCGTTGGTGTCGGTGTTGAGACACTGGACCCGGCACCCGTGTCCGGGCGTGTCTTCGGCATCTACGCGGCTCCGCAAGTACCGGCCAGCAGTACAGGTGCAGCCGCTATGAGTTCGAAATTCATAATCGATAGTATGCTACCGAAGTACCATCAGCAGTTCCATCATCAACAGTTGTTCTCGAGCGCGAACCCAAGCACGATCCAGGCGTGCACGAGCAGCCCGGCCACCGCCAGTCTAGAGTCCAGTTTATCCGCGGCTGCGGTTGCGGCCGCGGCGGTAAATTACGCGCAACAGCACAACTCGCCGAGCCCGACCGGCTCGAGTCCCCAGCACTCCGGAAGCTCCGCGTCAACGTCACCGGCGGCACGCACCACCTCGAGCATGTACCCGTACGTATCGGCGGCGGCGGCGCATCATCATCATCAGCAGCAGCAGGCGGTCGCGGCGGCGGCCTTCGGCGCCACGTCCAGCATGGTGCCGGGCTTCGGTTCCACCGCGGCATCGAGCGCCGCGTTGGCCGCGGCCGCGGCCGTCGACGCGGCCACCGCCGGCGACAAGTCCTGCCGCTACACCGCCAGCCTCGCCGGAAATGTAGCGCCCACGTCCGCCGACCCCATGGTCAACTACACCCTCGGACACCACCATCAGAACGGTGCCACACCGGGCAGCCTCGTGTCCTCCGCTTCCGCGTCCTCCGCGGTCTCCGCGGCTTCCGCCTCGATGGCCGCCGCAGCGCAGTTCTACCACCAAGCTGCCGCCGCATCAGCCGTCGTCGATCCGCTGACCTCCTGCCAACAACCCACCACCGGACAGCCCGGCATCTCGGACATACCCCGGTACCCGTGGATGTCGATCACCGGTAAGTCCGCTTTCGTCTATCCATCTACTTTGAAATCTTCCGTCGGAGCTGCGGTAGAATCTGCGCGGCCGTTGCTCTGCTTCGCTCCGTTCCGATGTAAACATCGCCGTTTTAGAACCCCGCCGACCTATCGCAGCTCCAACGCGAACGTACTCTGCTTGCTTCGCTCCAAAACCAATCTCTCGCACCTTTCTTTCGTTATCAAACAATCGATCGTCCGTCGCAATATCCCCCACTTGCTTCGCTCCGAAATCGCTCTTCCCCTTCGTCGTCCAAGCACCGGTTTGTCCAGAAAGTTCGTTCCACTGAAATTTCACTTTCTTTCGTCCACGCGACACACCGAGGTTACCTCCAGCAACGTCGCAAAGCACGGAGCTAACTTTCTAGACGAATCGCCCGTGTGTCGTCCTATTGCGAGATTGAGAAGAAGGATCGGAGCAGAAGGGGTAAACAAATGCGCGCACGCGGTAGCCATTCAAGCGGGACACGGTTGGAGCCCCGTTTCAGCAGGTAGTTGACAAAAGCGGCGCATACGGTCCACCCGGTATCCTCGCCGTTAACTGCCGTTCGAGGCTGCCGCGAGCAACTCGCGAAGATCCAAGTTCTTTGGAGCAGCTCGCGCGCACAGTCTTCGATCTAGCAATCACGAGTACGCATTATCTCCCGGCTTGTATCTACTCCGATTATCGCACGGTACGAGCATCGGAGCATCGCAACGTTGATTCGACAATGGTTGCGCGTTCGTTCGCTTCGATCGGACGTTTGTTTATCGTAACAACCTCATCGCCGCGTATCCCTCGACATGCAAAGGTGAACACCCTTCCTCCGCTCTGCGTTCCGTGCAGAGATTCTTGAACCGGGATACAGAATGATAAAGCTTTATGAAAGCAACGCGGCGTTGATGTAACAACGGTTCTTCGAACTGGAACAGATACATATGCCAGAACCCTCTTCGATGTACGCGGAGTTGTTGCAACATCGTTTCCACGCCCATTATGGAGCATTCGTGTAACGATGCTTAACAGCTGCACACCGTTTAATCGCCGATACTTTCCGGCGGAGGCGGTCGTTTCGGAGCAGAATCGATACTCGCAGTTCAATCAGAATGTTGAACCTAGGCGATTAAAACCAGAATCTTGATCTAGCCGAACGAATCTGCTGGTTGAAAGTCCGGTAAAAACAGCTTGCTCCAAAACCGAGCAACGTTCACTTTAGAAGCTGGCTCTTGTCGTTCCAGATCTCTCGATCCCGTCGGTTTCGGTTTCGGCCTCGCGCCGAAGCTTCTCGCCGATCAAGCGGAGTGGAACTCCGAAGGCGTTAAATCCACCGCGAGTGTCGTTTCGCAGCTAGAGCTCTCCCGCGGTGCGCCGGGGTCAGTCATTAAACCGGCGTGTACTGCGATTACAATGGTTGTTAAACGGTCCGCCAGCGGTTTCCGTTTTCCGCGCGGAAGATGCAGCGCCGCCGATAAGCTCGGCGATGAATCGCGGCGCATTCGAACGCCGGATCCAGCCGGTTCGACGTGCATCAATAACGGAATTAGCGTTATCAAGATCCGACGATACCAGCGTAGCGTCGACTTCGTCCCCGTCGACGTCCGTCGGACGGCTGTTCTTAACGGCTTCGGAGTCCGAGCGTTGCTTGGAAGCCGGAGTCGGACGATCGTCGAATAACAATTCGACCGAACAGCGAGAGGAGCTTCGATTTCGACTAACTAATCGATAAGCCGATAAATCACGGTTCGATCGGAGCGCGAATTTATGATTCGCCGGTGTGTTAGAGGCGTTTCGGAGCAGTTTTTTTCCGCGCTCCGATCCTTGTTCCCGCGCAGATTCCTTTCGCGGCATCCTCTTCCGGCAGCAAGTTAATCGCGATTTCATTAATTCACTCATCGTCGGCCGAGAAAAACCTGGAAATATGCTGCTCCAAACAGCTGGGAACGTTTGGGTGGCCTCGGCGGATCGGAACTGACCTACGGCACACGTGTTTATGGTTATTCTTTCGGCCGGGGCCGGCGGGGAGGGAGCAGCACCGCGATCCGAAACTTTTGCGAATACATATCTGCGAAGTCGATTCACCGGGACGCGATTTCTCGCGCGCCGATACATACGCGAACGGTCCGGCCGAGTTAATTATAGCGGCGCGTTAACAATACGTTACCCTTCTCGCGGATGAATCGGCTCGCTCGCCGGATTCATAAAGAATTCCGCCGAGCCCCGTCCAGTCATGTTATCGCAGCGATTTCTAGCCGGCCGTTTAATCGTATCGGTTTAATTAATATCGGCGTGCCGTTGGTCACGGCGCGGAGTCGCGGCCGGAACGGTCCGCGGCCGATAATCCGCTTCAAAGTTAATAAGTCCGGCATTAATTCCGGCCGACGGCGGTCTCGATAGATAACGCGCGTTACTCGTCCATCGGCGATCCGTTCCCGGGACCCGTTTGTTTGCAACGATTCGTTGTAAACATCCGTCGCGCGCGCGCCCGCCATTCGAAAATAAACGCTTCGCGTGGCACAGACGGCACAGTCGCTCGTAAAGCAACCGGCCATCTTAGGCTGCCCGGGGACTCCATCGCTCCGATTGGTATTCGAAGCGGATCGTCAACGGTCGCTCGGGGTTTCCGCGCCGATTTCGCGGCCTTTAATTACGGATACTCCGTGGAATAAGCGAATTCGAATGGAGAACAGAAGAACAGTCCTCAGCGTCGTGACAGACTTTCGATTTTTTCGCGGTTCGCGAATAAATGTATCGGTGTTCAGATGGATCTGATACTCCGTTTTACTCGGCTCAATTTGTTAATGTTTCGCAGCAGAAAAACTGAGCTCGTGCTCGACGTCCATTCGCGAACAGAAAGTTTTATCTCGTATCAAAATCTCCGGTCTAATCGTATTTTATTAAACGGCACGTTGCTGCGGTGCCCGTCGATCGTCGGCCAAGCCAGCCTGAAAGATCGCATGAAATCAAATCAAATCAATTCACCGAATGGAATGAAATAGTTCCATGACACTCCATCGGTCTTCTTGCATCTAGACAAATTAGTCCGATTGTTGCTGGCGCATGACGACGATGCTAATGAATGAGGGATTTCGGAGCGGCGGAAAATGGTGTTCAAAGACGACGATGTTAACGTGGCGAGCACAACGGAATCTATTATTAAATGCGTCCAGAAAGCGTGGGAGAGGCATGCGCCGTGTGCGTAAGCTTAAGCGATTCCACGTAGCATGCAAGTTTTTGCGGAACTGAAAAAGAAAAAAAAAAGCACTGTTAATAAATGTAATTATTCCGAACGTGCTGATCGACGGAAGATGCTATCGGAGACAGGGCAAGCTGCTAAATATTCATTTGATACCGGCTCCGTATTAACGTTTACTTTCCCGGAATAGAATTCCCCGCGAAATCTGCATAACATTTAAGATGGCCGAATATTTTCATGACTAATTGGACGGGGCGTACTGCGAATCGTGTTGATGCATTCTTGCGGTAAACAATTGCGATAATATAGTTAGGCGTAGACAGACATTTTCTCGATGCACGGTTCGATTGTATCTTTTCATAGCGCAACTTGTTAATTATAGTCAACGGTGTATCTCGACGAGTTGATTAGGACGGTCACAATCCCTTCGTATTTCATCGCGTCGTACGCTGTGGAACTGTGCACACCCGTCCAGCTCCATTATAAAAACGCATTAGAATCACCGTAATCTGCGGTCCGAATATATCACGGATTTTCTCAAATCTTTCACCTAAACGAGCCTCTTTATCGAGAAAATGTCTGCTCAATTTTCATCTTTACGATGTGCTCGATCTAATGCCCAGTTTACATAAACATTCGCTATCTAGTTCTTAGCGATTAAGTCGCCCATAAATTCTCCCACGCCAACAACCTTATTCTCGTTTTCGCTGATCGAGAGCCCAAACACGCGGTCCAGCTGGCTCGATCTGTATCGCGAAAAATAATTGAACGCCCTATTACGAGCGTCCGTTTACAAATTATATCCTCGCCGGTCGATTCGAATTTTTCTCGTCGGTACCGTCCGGAACTCCCTCGCTTTGTATCCACGCCCCCCCCCCCAAAAAAAATTCCAGAGCTCTCAATCTACCCGCGACAAATGCAGCGCTTACAAGCTCCGTTCCCGAAAAATATATTCGAATCCGGATTCCTCGTACAAGTTTATCCGGCCGAAGATCTCGAGGCGAACACTAATTAATCGAAAAGCGGAGGCGCTCTCGAACCGAGGCGAAGAAAGCAATCAAAGGGTTCGGGAAGAACAAGCTACCTCGCAAGACATTGATCCGGCAGAGAGCGTTCCGCTTATCGAGGGATCTGAAAGCGTTCCCGTCAGCGACGACGATAAATTTCCGGCAAGTTGGACTTCCTAGGCCGCCGGGAGGAAGTTGGCCAGCGGTGTTCTTGGACGTTGATCCGGCAGCCGGCGTGTTAATTCGCGCGAGCGTCTGCTCGACAAGCTCTCTTACACAGCCGGGCGATTGGAATGCCAGCCGGCCCTCCATTTTGGATTTACGGGAACAATAGGCGCGTTCGGGAGCGTGCTCGCGGCGCGATAGGCGGCCTGGAAACGTCTCGTCGCCGCGTTTCGCTCGACCAGAGCTATTTCTCCGTGTTCCGCATAATGCATTCCGCGTGCGGGGCCCCGGCTTTGTCCACGGGCGTATTAGCTCGGACAAAGTGCCGGCGGCGTTCTAACGCGTGTATTTGCGGACCGAGGGAAACCCTCTTTCTTTCCCGGCGAGGCGAGCTGTATTTTTAAAAGCCACGTCTCGGCCGCCATTGTTTCCGCGCGACTCGCGATAAATTCCGCGGCGGACCTTCGTCTCCCGCGCACACAGAATTTAATGAAAAGCGGCGCGTCCGAGGCGGCTCCGCGCGCGGGCGACGCTCGCGCGAAAATAAACTCTACGAAAATAATTGGCGACAACCGATCGGGGGCACACGAGGGGACGGGTATTTTTATTGCAGCCCCGTGGAATTCCGAGGGTCCC